TGACAGCTGTCTCTGTGTGTGAGTCAGCTGTTGCTGTGTGGTGCTGTAGTCTAGGGGGACACCCTCAGTGACAGCTGTCTCTGTGTGTGAGTCAGCTGTTGCTGTGTGGTGCTGTAGTCTAGGGGGACACCCCCAGTGACAGCTGTCTCTGTGTGTGAGTCAGCTGTTGCTGTGTGGTGCTGTAGCCTAAGGGGACACCCCCAGTGACAGCTGTCTCTGTGTGTGAGTCAGCTGTTGCTGTGTGGTGCAGTTGATCGCAATCGTTGGCTGCAGACTGACGATGCAACCGGTTGCTTGCAACTTGGGCAAATAGATTGGGAATGTCCGCGCAATCCCGGTTGCTCGCAACTTGGCCAACGGATTGGGAATGTCTGCGCAACCGGTTGCTCGCAACTTGGCCAACGGATTGGGAATGTCCGCGCAACCGGTTGCTCGCAACTTGGCCAACGGATTGGGAATGTCCGCGCAACCGGTTGCAGCGTCCACGAAAACGGACGCAACACCTTCCTAGCAGTTGCCACTGGGGGTGTCCCTCTTAGCCGTGGTGATGATGATGATGAGGTGGTGATGATGCTATGGTGGTGATGATGATGGTGGTGGTGATGGTGGTGATGATGTGGTGATGGTGTGGTGGTGATGATGGTGGTGATGATGGTGGTGGTGATGGTGGTGTTGATGTGGTGATGATGATGTGGTGATGTGGTGATGATGATGTGGTGATGGTGTGGTGGTGATGATGTGGTGATGGTGTGGTGATGGTGGTGATGAGGTGATGGTGATGATGTGGTGATAGTGTGATGAGGTGATGATGATGGGTTGATGATCATGAGGTGGTGATATGATGATGATGTGGTGATGTGGTGATGATTATGTGATGGTGTGGTGATGAGGTGGTGATAGTGTGATGATGAGGTGATGATGTGGTGATGATGATGGGGTGATGGTGATGTGGTGATGATGATGATGTGGTGATGATGTGGTAATGGTGATGATGATGTGGTGATGATGTGGTAATGGTGATGATGTGATGTGGTGATGGTGATGACGATGATGTGACAATGATGATGTGGTGGTGATGATGATGATGGTGACGAGGTAGTGATGTGGTGATGATGACGATGATGATGATGATGTGGTGTGGTGATGGTGATGATGGTGACGAGGTAGTGATGTGGATGATGTGGTGATGATGATGGTGACGAGGTAGTGATGGTGATGCGAGATGATCCATTAAGAATACGGGAGCTCAAAACAACAACCACCATCAGTACTGCCCATCCTAACACTAATACTGCTGAGCTGATACTACTACACTGATGGTGATCCTACTACTACTGATACTACTGCTGCTGAGCTGATACTACTACTACTACACTGATGATGATCCTACTACTACTGATAATACTACTGCTGAGCTGATACTACTACACTGATGGTGATCCTACTACTACTGATACTACTGCTGATACTACTACTACACTGATGGTGATCCTACTACTACTGATAATACTACTGCTGATACTACTACTACACTGATGGTGATCCTACTACTACTGATAATACTACTGCTGATACTACTACTACACTGATGGTGATCCTACTACTACTGATAATACTACTGCTGATACTACTACTACACTGATGGCGATCCTACTACTACTGATAATACTACTGAGCTGATACTACTACTACACTGATGGCGATCCTACTACTACTGATAATACTACTGAGCTGATACTACTACTACACTGATGATGATCCTACTACTACTGATACTACTACTACTGCTGACCTGATACTACTACTGCTGAGCTGATACTACTACTACACTGATGATGATCCTACTACTACTGATACTACTACTGCTGAGCTGATACTATTGCTGCTGAGCTGATACTACTACTCCTGATACTACTACTACACTGATGAAGATCCTACTACTACTGATGCTGCTGATCCTACTACTACTGATACTACTGCTGCTGCCGATCCTACTACTACTGCTGATACTACTGCTGCTGCCGATCCTACTACTGCTGATACTACTGCTGCTGCCGATTCGATCCTATTACTACGAATGCTGATACTACTACTACTGATCCTACTGATCCTACTGCTGTTACTTCAGTGACACTCGCAACTTCACCACGTCCAATACTGGGGGCAACCCGGTTGCATGCAACTCGGGCAAACGGGGATCCGGAATCGTCCGTGCAACCCGGTTGCATGCAACTCGGGCAAACGGGGATCCGGAAACGTCCGTGCAACCCGGTTGCATGCAACTCGGGCAAACGGGGATCCGGAATCGTCCGTGCAACCCGGTTGCATGCAACTCGGGCAAACGGGGATCCGGAAACGTCCGTGCAACCCGGTTGCATGCAACTCGGGCAAACGGGGATCCGGAAACGTCCGTGCAACCCGGTTGCATGCAACTCGGGCAAACGGGGATCCGGAAACGTCCGTGCAACCCGGTTGCATGCAACTCGGGCAAACGGGGATCCGGAATCGTCCGTGCAACCCGGTTGCATGCAACTCGGGCAAACGGGGATCCGGAAACGTCCGTGCAACCCGGTTGCATGCAACTCGGGCAATGGGGATCCGAAAACGTCCGTGCAACCCGGTTGCATGCAACTCGGGCAAACGGGGATCCGGAAACGTCCGTGTGAACCCGGTTGCATGCAACTCGGGCAAACGGGGATCCGGAAACGTCCGTGCAACCCGGTTGCATGCAACTCGGGCAAACGGGGATCCGGAAACGTCCGTGTGAACCCGGTTGCATGCAACTCCCTTGGGCTTGCCCGTTCGCAACACCACCCCTCCTCCCCTCCTGCAAACCCCGGTTGCGTGCAACATCGGCGGCATGGACGAGACTCTCCGCCCGCAGCCGAAGTTGCTCGCAACTCAAAAAACAACGGACGAACCGGCGCTTTGGGGGGATAAATAACAACAACAACAACAACAACCACAACAACAACAACAACCACAACAACCACAACCACAACCACGAACAAAAATGTTGTTCTAAGCAACGCGGCCTGCTTGCAGGAACCTGTGACTGGGTCAGCGCTAGCGGCAGGCCGGGCCGGGCCGGGCCGTGCCGGGCCGGGCCGGGCCGGGCCGGGCCGGGCCGGGCCGGGCCGGGCCGGGCCGGGCCGGGCCGGGCCAAGGGTCGCACCCGGCTACCGGACGACCGAGACCGGGTTTGCTTGCAACGCCGAGCGAGCGAGCGAGCTTTGGGGGAGTTGCGTGGAGTTGCGTGGAGTTGCGTGGAGTTGCGTGGAGCTGCGTGGAGCTGCGTGGAGTTGCGTGGAGTTGCGTGGAGTTGCGTGGAGCGACAGTGGGGGGGGGGGGGGGGGGTGGAGATGGGGTGAGGTTTACATTTGCTAAGAGGGTAAAAGCACACACACACAGAGAGAGAGACGGAGAGAGACGGAGAGAGAGAGAGAGAGACACAGAGAGACAGAGAGAGACAGAGAGAGACAGAGAGACGGAGAGAGACACAGAGAGAGACAGAGAGAGACACAGAGAGACACAGAGAGACGGAGAGAGACGGAGAGAGACAGAGAGAGAGAGAGAGACACAGAGAGACAGAGAGAGACAGAGAGAGACAGAGAGACGGAGAGACACAGAGAGAGACAGAGAGACGGAGAGACACAGAGAGAGACAGAGAGAGACACAGAGAGACAGAGAGACAGAGAGAGACAGAGAGAGACAGAGAGACGGAGAGACACAGAGAGAGACAGAGAGAGACACAGAGAGACACAGAGAGACGGAGAGAGACGGAGAGAGACAGAGAGAGAGAGAGAGACACAGAGAGACAGAGAGAGACAGAGAGAGACAGAGAGACGGAGAGACACAGAGAGAGACAGAGAGACGGAGAGACACAGAGAGAGACAGAGAGACGGAGAGACACAGAGAGAGACAGAGAGAGACACAGAGAGACACAGAGAGACACAGAGAGACGGAGAGAGACGGAGAGAGACAGAGAGAGACAGAGAGAGACAGAGAGAGACACAGAGAGAGACAGAGAGACGGAGAGACACAGAGAGACACAGAGAGACGGAGAGAGACGGAGAGAGACAGAGAGAGACAGAGAGAGACAGAGAGAGACACAGAGAGAGACAGAGAGACGGAGAGACACAGAGAGACACAGAGAGACGGAGAGAGACGGAGAGAGACAGAGAGAGACAGAGAGAGACAGAGAGAGACACAGAGAGACAGAGAGAGACAGAGAGAGACACAGAGAGACACAGAGAGACACAGAGAGACACAGAGAGACGGAGAGAGACGGAGAGTGACGGAGAGAGACAGAGAGAGACACAGAGAGACACAGAGAGACACAGAGAGACGAAGCGAGACGGAGAGAGACGGAGCGAGACGGAGGCGCAGATGAGAAGCACTCACGGCTCTGGATGTGCCACCAGGAAGGAGGAGGCATGGCTGGTGGGTGGGTGGGTGGGTGAGCGAGTGGGTGGGTGAGCAGGCGGGTGGGTGGGTGAGCGGGTGAGTGGGTGGGTGAGCGGGTGGGTGAGCGGGTGGGTGGGTGAGCGAGCGAGTGGGTGGGTGAGCAGGCGGGTGGGTGAGCGAGTGAGTGAGCGAGCGACTGAGAGAGCGACTGAGCTAGCTAGTGACTGAGCTAGCTAGCGACTGAGCTAGCTAGCGACTGAGCTAGCTAGCGACTGGGCGAGCTAGTGACTGAGCTAGCTAGCGACTGGGCGAGCTAGCGACTGGGCGAGCGACTGAGCTAGCAACTGGGCGAGCGACTGAGCTAGCTGGCTAGTGACTGAGCAAGCGACTAAGTGACTGAGCTAGTGACTAAGTGACTGGGCGAGCGACTGGGAGAGTAACTGGGAGAGTGACTAAGCGAGTGACTGAGCGAGTGACTGAGCGAGCGACTGAGAGAGTGACTGAGCGAGCGACTGAGAGAGTGACTGAGCGAGCGACTGAGTGACTGAGTGACTGAGCGAGTGACTGAGTGACTGAGTGAGTGACTGAGCGAGCGACTGAGCGAGTGACTGAGTGACTAAGCTAGTGACTAAGTGAGTGACTAAGCGAGTGACTGAGTGACTGAGCGAGTGACTGGCTGAGTGACTGAGCGAGTGACTAAGTGAGTGACTGAGCGAGCAACTAGAATTCCCAGAGGCTGTCCGAGTCTACAGACTGGGAGTCGGCCCGGAGCGATGAGGCATGGTCCCCTCTCACGTAGCAACCAGAGCTCTCCACCCTGCACACGCATAGCAACCACGCACACTTAGCAACCACGCGCACACATAGCAACCACACACACATAGCAACCACGCACACACATAGCAACCAGAGCTCTCCACCCTGCACACACATAGCAACCACGCACACACATAGCAACCACGCACACACATAGCAACCACGCACACACATAGCAACCAGAGCTCTCCACCCTGCACACGCATAGCAACCACGCACACACATAGCAACCACGCACACACATAGCAACCAGAGCTCTCCACCCTGCACACGCATAGCAACCACGCACACATAGCAACCACGCACACACATAGCAACCAGAGCTCTCCACCCTGCACACGCATAGCAACCACGCACACACGCATAGCAACCACGCACACACGCATAGCAACCACGCACACACGCATAGCAACCACGCACACACGCATAGCAACCACGCGCACACGCATAGCAACCACGCGCACACGCATAGCAACCACGCGCACAGGCATAGCAACCACGCGCACACGCATAGCAACCACGCACACACGCATAGCAACCACGCACACACGCATAGCAACCACGCCTACACACATAGCAACCACGCGCACACGCATAGCAACCACGCCCACACGCATAGCAACCACGCACACACATAGCAACCACGCACACACATAGCAACCAGGTAGACAGATGCACTCCCCCCACCATCACCCCCCCTCCCCCCCACCATCCCCCCTACCCCCACCCCCCACCATCACCCCCCCCACCCCCCCCCACCCACCCCCACCCCCACCATCACCCCCCCCACCCACCATCACCACCCACCCCCACCATCACCCCCCCCACCCACCATCACCACCCCCCATCACCACCCCCACCCACCCCCACCATCACCACCCCCACCCACCATCACCACCCCCACCCACCATCACCACCCCCACCCACCATCACCACCCCCACCCACCATCACCACCCACCCCCACCATCACCACCCCCACCCACCATCACCACCCCCACCCACCATCACCACCCCCACCCACCATCACCACCCCCACCCACCATCACCACCCACCCCCACCATCACCACCCCCACCCACCATCACCACCCACCCCCACCATCACCACCCCCCATCACCACCCCCACCCACCATCACCACCCCCACCCACCATCACCACCCCCACCCACCATCACCACCCCCACCCACCATCACCACCCCCACCCACCCCCCCCACCGTATGGCCACGTGGTTGCGAGGGTGAAGTTCGAGGCAGAAGGCGGTGGGGTCAGCGACGTCGCTCACGGAGACGGAGCCGTCGGTACACAACACCCACGCACGACCATCTTCACCTACAGTCACACACACACAGTGTCACACAGTCATACACACAGTCATACACACAGTCACACACACTGTGTCACACAGTGTCACACACACACAACACCCACGCACGACCATCTTCACCTACACACAGTGAGACAGTCATACACACAGTCATACACAGTGTCACACACAGTCACACACACACAGTGTGATACAGTCACACACACACACAACACCCACGCACGACCATCTTCACCTACAGTCACACACAGTGTGATACACACACACAGTGTCACACACAGTGTGATACACAGTGTCACACACAGTCACACACAACACCCACGCACGACCATCTTCACCTACAGTCACACACACAGTCATACACACAGTCACACACAGTGTCACACAGTGTCACACACACAGTGTCACACACACACAACACCCACGCACGACCATCTTCACCTACAGTCACACAGTGAGACAGTCATACACACAGTCACACACAGTCACACACACACAGTGTGATACAGTCACACACACACACAACACCCACGCACGACCATCTTCACCTACAGTCACACACAGTGTCATACACACAGTCACACAGTGTGTCACACACACAGTGTCACACACAGTCACACAGTCACACACACAGTGTCACACACACACACAACACCCACGCACGACCATCTTCACCTACACACAGTGAGACAGTCATACACACAGTGTCACACACACAGTGTGATACACACACACACAACACCCACGCACGACCATCTTCACCTACAGTCACACACACAGTGTGATACAGTCACACACACAGTCATACACAGTGTCACACACAGTCACACACACACAGTGTGATACAGTCACACACACACACAACACCCACGCACGACCATCTTCACCTACAGTCACACAGTGAGACAGTCATACACACAGTGTCACACACACAGTGTGATACACACACACACAACACCCACGCACGACCATCTTCACCTACAGTCACACACAGTGTCATACACACAGTCACACACACAGTGTGATACACACACACACAACACCCACGCACGACCATCTTCACCTACAGTCACACAGTGAGACAGTCATACACACAGTCATACACAGTGTCACACACAGTCACACACACACAGTGTGATACAGTCACACACACACACAACACCCACGCACGACCATCTTCACCTACAGTCACACAGTGTGATACACACACACAGTGTCACACACAGTGTGATACAGTCACACACACACACAACACCCACGCACGACCATCTTCACCTACAGTCACACACAGTGTGATACACAGTGTCACACACAGTCACACACAACACCCACGCACGACCATCTTCACCTACAGTCACACACACAGTCATACACACAGTCACACACAGTGTCACACAGTGTCACACACACAGTGTCACACACACACAACACCCACGCACGACCATCTTCACCTACAGTCACACAGTGAGACAGTCATACACACAGTCATACACAGTGTCACACACAGTCACACACACACAGTGTCACACAACAACAACAACAACCGCCATTCGCCACTAAGTGGCGGTGACGTCACCACGACGCTTGTGCCAGGCTATGTGCACCCTGAGGCCACGTGAAGTGTCGAACGCCCGCTGGCAGGAGGTCACGGGGCAGACCCAGGTGCCACGGGTCGACTGACTGAGATGACTGGCTGATGCACCACCTGTGCCCCCTACTGTGCCAACCTGCTGTGCTTTAGCCACCCGGCGCTCCGCTCGCTGTTGTGAGCGTCACTCCTCCGCCCTCCGTTGTTGTTGGAGGGCGACTGCCTCCAACTGCCCAGTAGCATCCTTCACGAGCCTCCTCCACAGAGGCCGATCTTGACACCGCTGGTACCAGTCATCGGCAAGTCCACTCAGCTCCACGTCCTCCTGTACCACATCACTCCATCTCTTCTCTAGCCCGTGCCGCGCCCGCTTAGCCCCCTCAATCCGGCCAAACAAAAGCTGTTTCGGCATGCGGTGGCTGGGCATGCGGGCTACATGACCCAGCCATCGCAGCCTTGCCTGCCGGAGGAGCTCACCGATGGGACCCTGCCCAGATCTTTCAAGGATTTGTGAGCTCCTCACACAATCCAGTCTGGTTAAACCCAGGATGGATCGTAGGCAGGTCAGCCTAAATGTTTCTAACCGGCGAAGATGTTCCATTAGGGGGGTCCACGTTTCGCAAGCGTAGAGAAGGGAGGGAATGACCGTGGCCGAGAAGACCTGAAGCTTAGTGCGGAGCGACAGACCAGGTAGCTTCCACACAGCGTTACGCAACCGATGAAAAGATATTGCCACTCGACTGATTCGGAGTGAGACCTCTGCTGTTAAACTGGAGCCAGTCATGAGCACACTGCCCAGGTATGGGAAACTCTCCACTCTCTCCACAACTGCCCCATCACCGATTGGGAGTTGTGGGGGTGGAGTGTCCGATGGTACAAAATACCCAGGCAGGTGCTTAGTTTTGGTGGGGCTGATGGTAAGGCCCCACCTCTTAGTGGCACGCTCCAGTCTCAGCAGCAGCGTCTCCAACTCCTCCTCTGACTGAGCAGCTATTACCAAGTCATCAGCATACATAACGTGGTTGAGCAATAGGGAGCCATCCCTTGACCGCACCCGGGCATCGATTAGCCTCCCATTATATCTGTACCATATGGAGATTCCCCCGGTACAGCTATTGAAGGCTTCACGAACTACGTGGTCAAAATAGATGTTAAATAATGTGGGAGCCAGAGGACACCCCTGTCGCACCCCAAGGTGTACAGGGAATGGCTCTGACTCCCAGCCACGTAGTTTTACCCGGGCCCGCTCACCATCATGAAGGTCCTTAATGATCGTGAGCAGAGGGTCAGGTACTCCAAAAGCACGAAGAACGACCCAGAGCCCAGGCCTACTGATGGTATCATAGGCCTTGACCAGGTCAATAAAGCAGAGATGTAGGTCTAGTTGGAATTCCCTACACCTCTGCTGTAGCAGACGGACAGAAAATATGGCATCTGTGCAGGACCGCCCTTTCCTGAAACCGCATTGGGGCTCCGCAAGCCTCTCCTCAGCGTGCCTGGCAAGGCGATGCTGAATAATCCTTGCCAGGACCTTTCCCGGCACACTGAGGAGTGAGATGCCCCTGTAGTTGTTACAGTCTGTGCGGTCCCCCTTCTTAAAAAGGGGGACCACCAGGGCATCCTTCCAATCCTGCGGAACCCGTCCAGTGGTCCAGACTGTTGTTATGATGTCATATAGGGCAGTCTGTGCACAAACGCCACCCTCCCTCAGCATTTCGCTTGGGAGATCATCTCTGCCCGCTGCCTTTCCTGGTCTCAGACTCCGGATCGCCTTCAATACTTCCTCAGCAGATGGCACCTCAGCCAGCCACTCACAGGGGGTGACTTCATCCAATATTTGAGGCACCGCAGCCTCAGCAGGGTCATCCTCACTTTGTGCCACGATGTTTTCCTGGCTGAGGGATTTTCCCTCCCCCAGGACCTCACAGAAATGCTCAGCAAATCTGCGAACCTGTTCCTGGGGGTCGGAAATTGGATCACCGTTTTTTCCCCTAATGATGGTAATAGGTGTGGCGCTGCAGGTTACTTTTTTGATGGAGTTAAATAGAGATTTGTGATCACGGGCCACTGAGGCAGACTCCATCTCCTCAGCAACCCGCGACCACCACCCATCCTTGCAGCGCCTCACGGCTCTCCGAACCTCCGAGCGAAGGCTGCGGTAAGCCTCCTCATTCTCTGACGTGGGATTCTGTAGCCGATGACAGTGGGCCTGTCGCTTTTTCTCAACCATCGTGAACAACTCCTCTGTCATCCAGGGTGTCTGGGGAGGTCTGGACCGCGTACCCAAAGCAGCCAGCACCTGTGACAGGAGGTCATAGAAGGCATCTGACTCATCGGCTTTGCCTGCATCCCTCCACGGATGTTCATCTTCGGTGGGGGCATAAGTAACCACGACCACCATTCCTCGCCTCCGGTTGATGGGAAGGCGAGCCCAAAGTAGCCTGGGGCTTACAGCTTCCCACACCTCACCGCCACGCTCCCACGCCCCCTTCATTCTTTTGTTCAAAAGAAGACCCACACCCTGTTGTTTGGCAGTCTGCTGCCCCGAGTAGAGGACTGTCCACCCCTCATGGTGGCAGGAGCCAGAGCCGGTCCACCGGACCTCCTGAATGCCGCATAGATCCAGGCGGTACCGGTCCAGCTCCCGACAGAGGAGTGGCAGCCTCTCCTCTGCAGTGAGCGTTCGAACATTCCACGTGGCCACCCATAGTGGCTTTTCGTTGTTTCTGGAGTAGCCCCGAGGGTAGGTATTCAATCTCCTGGCTCCGCCAATTGGGGTTTGGCCAGGAGACGTCATAGACGCCTGGCCCCCCGGGGCCTCCGGCACAAGCTTAGTTGTTACATATTTCAGTTTAATTCGTGGTTTTGTGGTAATTAATTGAAGGTGGAGGGGTTACCAGCCCCTCGCACCCGTCCAGAGCCCCCGTTTAGCCCCTGTGGTGGACACATATGCCATGAGGGGAGGAGCCAATCAAAATTGGATCTCCCCCCACAGCGCTGTCCACGACAGAGTTGCCCGTCCGGCACCGCGAGGAGACAGTGAGACACACACACAGTGAGACACACACACAGTGAGACACACACACAGTGAGACACACACACAGTGAGACACACACACAGTGAGACACACACACAGTGAGACACACACACAGTGAGACACACACACAGTGAGACACACACACAGTGAGACACACACACAGTGAGACACACACACAGTGAGACACACACACAGTGAGACACACACACAGTGAGACACACACACAGTGAGACACACACACAGTGACACACACACAGTGAGACACACACACAGTGAGACACACACACAGTGACACACACACAGTGAGACAGTGAGACACACACACAGTGACACACACACAGTGAGACAGTGAGACACACACACAGTGACACACACACAGTGAGACAGTGAGACACACACACAGTGACACACACACAGTGAGACAGTGAGACACACACACAGTGACACACACACAGTGAGACAGTGAGACACACACACAGTGAGACACACACACAGTGAGACAGTGAGACACACACACAGTGAGACACACACACACACACAGTGAGACACACACACACACACAGTGAGACACACACACACAGTGAGACACACACACACAGTGAGACACACACAGTGAGACACACGGGGGATGGTGTGGTTGAGTAAGTTGGTGAGCGTGTGTGGGTGAGCTGGTGAGCGTGTGTGGTGTGTGCGAGTGAGTGAGTGAGCGAGTCAGCGAGTGGGCGAGCGAGTGGGCGAGTCAGCGAGTGAGTGAGCGAGTGGATGAGCGGGTGAGTGAGCGGGTGAGTGAGTGAGTGAGCTGGTGAGTGAGTGAGTGGGTGAGTGAGTGGGTGAGCGGGTGAGTGAGTGGATGAGCGGGTGAGTGAGTGGGTGAGTGAGCGAGTGGGCGAGCGAGTATGTGAGCGAGTGAGCTGGTGAGCGAGCGAGCGAGTGGGTGTGTGAATGAGCGGGTGAGCGAGTGGGTGAGCGAGCGAGCCGGTGAGTGAGTTGGTGAGTGAGCGGGTCAGCGAGTGGGTGAGCGTGTAAGTGAGCGTGTAAGTGAGCGAGCGGGTGAGCGAGCGGGTGAGCTGGTAAACGAGCGGGTGAGTGTGTGAGTGGGCGAGCGAGTGGCGAGTGAGCGTGTGAGTGAGCGTGTGAGTGAGCGGGGGTGAGCGGGTGAGTGAGCGGGTGAGTGAGCGGGTGAGTGAGCGGGTGAGTGAGCGGGGGTGAGCGAGTGAGCTGGTGAGCGAGCAAACTGGTGAGTTGGTGAGCGAGCGGGGGAGCTGGTGAGCGAACTGGTGAGCTGGTGAGTGAGCGGGTGAGCGAACTGGTGAGTTGGTGAGTGAGCCAACTGGTGAGTTGGTGAGCGAACTGGTGAGCTGGTGAGTGAGCTGGTGAGCTGGTGAGTGAGCTGGTGAGTGAGCTGGTGAGTGAGCTGGTGAGCGAACTGGTGAGCGAGTGGCTGAGCGAGCTGGTGAGTGAGCTGGTGAGTGAGCTGGTGAGCGAGCTGGTGAGCGAGCTGGTGAGCGAGCTGGTGAGCGAGCTGGTGAGCGAGCTGGTGAGCGAGCTGGTGAGCGAGTGGCTGAGTGAGCTGGTGAGTGAGCTGGTGAGTGAGCTGGTGAGTGAGCTGGTGAGTTGGTGAGCGAGCTGGTGAGCGAGCTGGTGAGCGAGCGGCTGAGCGAACTGGTGAGCGAGCCGGTGAGCGAGCCGGTGAGCGAGCCGGTGAGCGAGCCGGTGAGCGAGCTGGTGAGTGAGCGGGTGAGTGAACGAGCTGGTGAACGAGCTGGTGAGCTGGTGAGCGAGCTGGTGAGCGAGCTGGCGAGTGAGCTGGTGAGTGAGCTGGTGAGCGAACGAGCTGGTGAGCAAGCTGGTGAGTGAGCGAGCTGGTGAGCGAGCTGGTGAGTGAACGAGCTGGTGAGCCGGTGAGCGAGCTGGTGAGTGAGCGAGCTGGTGAGCGAGTTGATGAGCGAGCTGGTGAGTGAGCTGGTGAGTGAGTTGGTGAGTGAGCTGGTGAATGAGTTGGTGAGTGAGCTGGTGAGTGAGCTGGTGAATGAGTTGGTGAGTGAGCTGGTGAGTGAGCTGGTGAATGAGTTTGTGAGTGAGCTGGTGAGTGAGCTGGTGAGTGAGTTGGTGAGTGAGCCGGTGAGCGAGCTGGTGAGTGAACGAGCTGGTGAGCGAGCTGGTGAGCGAGCTGGTGAGTTGGTGAGCGAGCTGGTGAGTGAACGAGCTGGTGAGCTAACTGGTGAGCTAACTGGTGAGCGAGTTGGTGAGCGAGCTGGTGAGCGAGCTGGTGAGCGAGCTGGTGAGCTAACTGGTGAGCCGGTGCTCACCGTGCAGGTGGTATGTCCCGCTGAGCGGGCCGGCGCTGAGCGTGAAGGACTCGTAGGTAGCTCTGTTGGCGTCAAGCACCCCGCTGCCACGCCTCACAGCCACAAAGCCGTGGGGCCCACGAAGCACCAGCAGAGGGCGGTTCACCACTCGGAGCGAAAACTCCTCCGCCTCGCCTGCACGCTCGCACCAACGCTCGCTCGCTCGCTCACCCGCACGCTCACCCACTCACTCACCCACTCACTCACCCACTCACCCGCACGCTCGCTCACTCACCCGCTCACTCACTCACTCACCCGTACGCTCGCTCGCTCGCCCACTCGCTCACCCACTCGCTCACCCACTCGCTCACCCACACGCTCACTCACTCACTCACCCGCACGCTCACCCGCACGCTCACCCACTCACCCGCACGCTCGCTCACTCACTCACTCACCCGCTCACCCGCACGCTCACCCACTCACCTCACCCACTCACCCGCACGCTCACCCACTCACTCACTCACCCACTCACCCGCACGCTCACCCACTCACCCGCACGCTCACCCACTCACCCGCACGCTCACCCACTCACTCACCCGCTCACCCGCACGCTCACCCACTCACCCGCACGCTCACCCACTCACCCGCACGCTCACCCACTCACCCACCCACCCACCCGCACGCTCACCCACTCGCTCACCCACTCACTCACTCACTCACCCGCTCACCCACCCACTCACCCACCCGCTCGCTCACCCGCACGCTCACCCACTCTGTAGTGCGGCTGTAGCGTGTACGTGTGTGTAGTGAGTGTGTAGCGAGTGTGTATAGCGAGTGTAGTGTGTAGCAAGTGTAGTGTGTAGCAAGTGTAGTGTGTAGCGAGTGTAGTGTGTAGCGAGTGTAGTGTGTGTAGTGTGTGTGTGTAGTATGTAGCGACTGTGTGTAGTGAGTGTGTGTGTAGTGAGTGTGTGTGTGTAATGAGTGTGTGTGTAGTGAGTACTGAGTGTGTGTGTAGTGTGTACTGAGTGTGTGTAGTGAGTACTGAGTATGTGTAGTGTGTAGTGAGTACTGTGTGTGTGTAATGAGTGTGTGTAATGAGTGTGTGTAATGAGTGTGTGTGTGTAGTGAGTGTGTGTGTAGTGAGTGTGTGTGTAGTGAGTGTGTGTGTAGTGTAGTGTGTAATGAGTGTGTGTGTAGTGTGTACTGAGTGTGTGTGTAGTGTGTGTAGTGTGTAGTGAGTGTGAGTGTAATGACTGTGTGTAGAGTGTGTACTGTGTGTGTGTAGTGTGTATAGTGAGTGTGTGTAATGAGTGTTCGAGTGTGCGAGTGAGTGTAATGAGTGTGTAGTGTGTAGAGAGTGTGTGTGTGTAGCGAGTGTGTGTAGTGTGTGTGTGTGTGTGAGTGCAGTGAGTGTGTATAGCGAGTGTGTGTAGAGTGTACTGTGTGTGTGGAGTGTACTGTGAGTGTGTGTAGTGTGTACTGTGTGTGTAGTGAGTGTGTATAGCGAGTGTGTGTAGTGTGTACTGTGTGTGTGTAGAGTGTAATGAGTGTGTGTAGTGTGTACTGTGTGTGTGTAGTGAGTGTGTATAGCGAGTGTGTGTAGTGTGTACTGTGTGTGTGTAGAGTGTAATGAGTGTGTGTAGTGTGTACTGTGTGTGTGTAGTGAGTGTGTATAGCGAGTGTGTGTAGTGTGTACTGTGTGTGTGTAGAGTGTAATGAGTGTGTGTAGTGTGTACTGTGTGTGTGTGTAGTGTGTACTGTGTGTGTGTAGTGAGTGTGTATAGCGAGTGTGTGTAGTGTGTACTGTGTGTGTGTAGTGAGTGTGTATAGCGAGTGTGTGTAGTGTGTACTGTGTGTAGTGAGTGTGAGTGTGTAGAGTGTAATGAGTGTGTGTGTAGTGTGTACTGTGTGTGTGTGTAGTGTGTGTAGTGTGTGTATAGTGTGTACTGTGTGTGTGTAGTGTGTGTGTGTATAGCGAGTGTGTGTAGAGTGTACTGTGTGTGTAGTGAGTGTGTGTACTGTGTGTGTGTAGTGAGTGTGTATAGCGAGTCTGTGTAGAGTGTACTGTGTGTGTGTGTAGTGTGTACTGTGTGTGTGTAGTGAGTGTGTATAGCGAGTGTGTGTAGAGTGTACTGTGTGTGTGTAGTGAGTGTGTGTAGTGTGTGTGTGTGTGTAGTGTGTACTGTGTGTGTGTAGTGAGTGTGTATAGCGAGTGTGTGTAGAGTGTACTGTGTGTGTAGTGAGTGTGTGTACTGTGTGTGTGTGTAGTGTGTACTGTGTGTGTGTAGTGAGTGTGTGTAGTGTGTACTGTGTGAGTGTGTGTAGTGTGTACTGTGTGTGTGTGTAGAGTGTACTGTGTGTAGAGTGTAGTGTGTAGTGTGTACTGTGTGTGTGTAGTGTGTAATGAGAGTGTGTGTAGAGTGTACTGTGTGTGTGTAGTGAGTGTGTATAGCGAGTGTGTGTGTAGTGTGTACTGTGTGTGTGTGTAGTGTGTACTGTGTGTAGTGTGTATAGCGAGTGTGTGTAGAGTGTACTGTGTGTGTAGAGTGTACTGTGTGTGTGAGTGTACTGTGTGTGTGTGTAGAGTGTGTGTAGAGTGTGTGTAGAGTGTACTGTGTGTGTGTACTGTGAGTGTGTGTAGTGTGTGTACTGTGAGTGTGTGTAGAGTGTAATGAGTGTGTGTGTAGTGTGTGTAGTGTGTGTACTGTGTGTGTGTGTAGAGTGTACTGTGAGTGTGTGTAGAGTGTACTGTGAGTGTGTGTAGTGAGTGTGTATAGCGAGTGTGTGTAGAGTGTACTGTGTGTGTGTACTGTGAGTGTGTGTAGAGTGTACTGTGTGTGTACTGTGTGTGTGTGTAGTGTGTACTGTGTGTGTGTGTAGTGTGTGTAGTGTGTACTGTGTGTGTGTGTGTACTGTGAGTGTGTGTAGTGTGTGTGTGTGTAGTGTGTACTGTGTGTGTGTAGTGTGTACTGTGTAGAGTGTACTGTGTGTGTGTAGAGTGTACTGTGTGTAGTGTGCACTGTGTGTGTGTGTAGAGTGTACTGTGTGTGTACTGTGTGTGTAGTGTGTACTGTGTAGTGTACTGTGTGTGTGGTGTGTACTGTGTGTGTGTGTGTGTAGTGTGTACTGTGTGTGTGTGTGTAGTGTGTACTGTTTGTGTGTGTGTAGTGTGTACTGTGTGTGTAGTGAGTGTGTACTGTGAGTGTGTGTGTAGAGTGTACTGTGTGTGTACTGTGTGTGTAGTGTGTACTGTGTAGTGTACTGTGTGTGTGGTGTGTACTGTGTGTGTGTGTGTGTAGAGTGTACTGTGTGTGTACTGTGTGTGTAGTGTGTACTGTGTAGTGTACTGTGTGTGTGGTGTGTACTGTGTGTGTGTGTGTGTGTAGAGTGTACTGTGTGTGTGTGTGTAGTGTGTACTGTTTGTGTGTGTAGTGAGTGTGTACTGTTTGTGTGTGTAGTGAGTGTGTACTGTGAGTGTGTGTGTAGAGTGTACTGTGTAGAGTGTACTGTGTGTGTGTGTGTAGTGTGTACTGTGTAGAGTGTACTGTGTGTGTGTGTGTAGTGTGTACTGTGTGTGTAGAGTGTACTGTGTGTGTGTGTGTAGTGTGTACTGTGTGTGTAGAGTGTGTACTGTGTGTGTAGAGTGTACTGTGTGTGTACTGTGTGTACTGTGAGTGTGTGTAGAGTGTACTGTGTGTGTAGAGTGTACTGTGTGTGTGTAGTGTGTACTGTGTGTGTAGTGTGTACTGTGAGTGTGTGTGTAGTGTGTACTGTGTGTGTGTGTGTACTGTGTGTGTGTGTAGTGTGTGTAGAGTGTACTGTGTGTGTGTGTGTAGTGTGTACTGTGTGTGTAGAGTGTACTGTGTGTGTGTGTTGCTACCGGCTGTGTCGGCCGTGGCCTGTAGCTGCCCGTTCTTCTTGGCCGTGACGAACTTCCCCCCACGGACTTGGAGGGCGACAGAGCGGCCTCGCCACAACACCTCAAACACAGCCGCACTGCTCCTACACTCACACACACAGTGACACACACAGTGACACACACACACACACACAGTGACACACACACACAGTGACACACACACAGTGTGACACACACAGTGACACAGTGACACACACACAGTGTGACACACACAGTGACACACAGTGACACACACACAGTGAGACACACACACAGTGACACACACACAGTGAGACACACAGTGACACACACACAGTGAGACACACACAGTGAGACACACACAGTGAGACACACACACACACAGTGAGACACACACACACACAGTGACACACACACACACACAGTGACACACACACACACACACAGTGACACACACACACACACACAGTGAGACACACACACACACACAGTGAGACACACACACACACACAGTGAGACACACACACACACACAGTGAGACACACACACACACACAGTGAGACACACACACACACACAGTGAGACACACACACACACACAGTGAGACACACACACACACACAGTGAGACACACACACACACACACAGTGAGACACACACACACACACACAGTGAGACACACACACACACACAGTGAGACACACACACACACACAGTGAGACACAGACACACACAGTGAGACACACACACACACACAGTGAGACACAGACACACACAGTGAGACACAGACACACACAGCGTGACACACACAGTGAGACACAGACACACACAGCGTGACACACACAGTGAGACACAGACACACACAGCGTGACACACACAGTGAGACACACACACACACAGCGTGACACACACAGTGAGACACACACACACACAGCGTGACACACACAGTGAGACACACACACACACAGCGTGACACACACAGAGAGACACACACACACAACAGCGTGACACACACAGTGAGACACACACACACACAGCGTGACACACACAGTGAGACACACACACACACAGCGAGACACACACAGTGAGACACACACACACACAGCGTGACACACACAGTGAGACACACACACACACAGCGTGACACACACAGTGAGACACACACACACACAGCGTGACACACACAGTGAGACACACACACACACACAGCGTGACACACACAGTGAGACACACACACACACAGCGTGACACACACAGTGAGACACACACACACACAGCGTGACACACACAGTGAGACACACACACACACAGCGTGACACACACAGTGAGACACACACACACACAGCGTGACACACACAGTGAGACACACACACACACAGCGTGACACACACAGTGAGACACACACACACACAGCGTGACACACACAGTGAGACACACACACACACAGCGTGACACACACAGTGAGACACACACACACAGCGTGACACACACAGTGAGACACACAACACACAGCGTGACACACACAGTGAGACACACACACACAGCGTGACACACACAGTGAGACACACACACACAGCGTGACACACACAGTGAGACACACACACACAGCGTGACACACACAGTGAGACACACACACACAGCGTGACACACACAGTGAGACACACACACACAGCGTGACACACACAGTGAGACACACACACACAGCGTGACACACACAGTGAGACACACACACACAGCGTGACACAACACAGTGAGACACACACACACAGCGAGACACACACACACAGCGAGACACACACACACAGCGAGACACACACACACAGCGAGACACACACACACAGCGAGACACACACACACAGCGACACACACACACACAGCGACACACACACACACACAGTGACACACACACACACACAGTGACACACACACACACACAGTGACACACACACACACAGTGACACACACACACACAGTGACACACACACACACAGTGACACACACACACACAGTGACACACACACACAGTGACACACACACACACAGTGACACACACACACACAGTGACACACACACACACACAGTGACACACACACACACACAGTGACACACACACACACACAGTGACACACACACACACACAGTGACACACACACACACACAGTGACACACACACACACACAGTGACACACACACACACACAGTGACACACACACACACAGTGACACACACACACACACAGTGACACACACACACACACAGTGACACACACACACACACAGTGACACACACACACACACAGTGACACACACACACACACAGTGACACACACAGTGACACACACACACACAGTGACACACACACACACACACAGTGACACACACAGTGACACACACACACACAGTGACACACACACACACACACACAGTGACACACACACACGGTGACACACACACGGTGACACACACACACACAGTGACACACACACACACAGCGTGTCACACACACACACACAAACAGCGTGCATCACACACACAGCGTCACACACACAGTGAGATACGTGGAGACACGTGGAGGACACAGAGAGACACAGGTAGACACGTGGAGACAGAGAGAGACACGTGGAGACACGTGGAGAACACAGGTAGACACGTGGAGACAGAGAGAGACACGTGGAGACAGAGAGAGACACGTGGAGACAGAGAGAGACACGTGGAGGACACGTGGAGACACAGGGAGACACGTGGAGACAGAGAGAGACACGTGGAGGACACGTGGAGACACAGAAAGAGACGTGGAGACACGTGGAGACAGAGAGAGACACGTGGAGGACACGTGGAGACCACAGGGAGACACGTGGAGACGCGTGGAGACACGTGGAGACACGTGGAGACGCGTGGAGACGCGTGGAGACAGAGCGAGACACGTGGAGAGAGACACGTGGAGACACGTGGAGACAGAGAGACACGTGGAGGAAACGTGGAGACCACAGGGAGACACGTGGAGACACGTGGAGACACATGGAGCAGCGTGGAGACAGAGAGAGACACGTGGAGGACACGTGGAGACAGAGAGACACGTGGAGACACGTGGAGACACGTGGACACAGGGAGACACGTGGACACAGGGAGACACGTGGAGACAGAGAGAGACACGTGGAGACACGTGGACACAGAGAGAGACACGTGGAGACAGAGAGAGACACGTGGAGACAGAGAGAGACACGTGGAGACAGAGAGACACGTGGAGGACACGTGGAGACACGTGGAGGACACAGGGAGACACGTGGAGACAGAGAGAGACACGTGGAGACAGAGAGAGACACGTGGAGACGCGTCGAGACCACAGGGAGACACGTGGAGACAGAGAGAGACACGTGGAGACAGAGACACACGTGGAGGACACAGGGAGACACTGCAGACGCATGGAGACACGTGGAGACACGGGGAGACAGAGAGAGACACGTGGAGACACGTGGAGACAGAGACACGTGGAGACACGTGGAGACAGAGACACGTGGAGACACGTGGAGACACAGGGAGACAGAGAGAGACACGTGGAGACACGTGGAGACAGAGAGAGACACGTGGAGACCACAGGGAGACGCGTGGAGACACGTGGAGACAGAGAGAGACACGTGGAGACACGTGGAGACAGAGAGAGACACGTGGAGACAGAGACACGTGGAGACGCGTGGAGACAGAGAGAGACACGTGGAGACAGAGAGAGACACGTGGAGACACATGGAGACACGTGGAGACACGTGGAGACAGAGACACGTGGAGACGCGTGGAGACAGAGACACGTGGAGACGCGTGGAGACAGAGGGAGACACGTGGAGACGCAGGGAGACACGTGGAGACACAGGGAGACAGAGAGACACGTGGAGGACACAGGGAGACACTGGAGACGCATGGAGACACAGGGAGACACGTGGAGACACGTGGAGACAGAGAGACACGTGGATACACGTGGAGACACGTGGACACAGGGAGACACGTGGACACAGGGAGACACGTGGAGGACAGAGAGAGACACGTGGAGACGCGTGGACACAGGGAGACACGTGGAGACAGAGAGAGACACGTGGAGACACAGGGAGACACGTGGAGACACGTGCAGGACACGTGGAGACAGAGACACGTGGAGACACGTGGAGACAGAGAGAGACACGTGGGGACACAGGGAGACACGTGGAGACACGTGGAGACAGAGCGAGACACGTGGAGACCACAGGGAGACGCGTGGAGACACGTGGAGACACGTGGAGACAGAGAGAGACACGTGGAGACACATGGAGGACACAGGGAGACACGTGGAGACACAGGGAGACACGTGGAGACACGTGGAGACAGAGAGAGACACGTGGAGACAGAGAGAGACACGTGGAGACAGAGACACGTGGAGACAGAGACACGTGGAGACAGAGACAGACACGTGGAGACAGAGACACGTGGAGACAGAGACACGTGGAGACACGTGGAGACAGAGAGAGACACGTGGAGACAGAGACACGTGGAGACAGAGAGAGACACGTGGAGACAGAGACACGTGGAGACAGAGACACGTGGAGACACGTGGAGACAGAGAGAGACACGTGGAGACAGAGACACGTGGAGACAGACACGTGGAGACACGTGGAGACAGAGAGAGACACGTGGAGACACGTGGAGACACGTGGAGGACACAGGGAGACACGTGGAGACAGAGAGAGACACGTGGAGGACACAGGGAGACACGTGGAGACAGAGACACGTGGAGACAGAGAGAGACACGTGGAGACAGAGAGAGACACGTGGAGACACGTGGAGGACACAGGGAGACACGTGGAGACACGTGGAGACACGTGGAGACAGAGACACGTGGAGACACGTGGACACGCGTGGAGACAGAGACACGTGGAGACACGTGGAGACAGAGAGAGACACGTGGAGACACATGGAGGACACAGGGAGACACGTGGAGACACAGGGAGACACGTGGAGACACGTGGAGACAGAGAGAGACACGTGGAGACAGAGAGAGACACGTGGAGACAGAGACACGTGGAGACAGAGACACGTGGAGACAGAGACAGACACGTGGAGACAGAGACACGTGGAGACAGAGACACGTGGAGACACGTGGAGACAGAGAGAGACACGTGGAGACACGTGGAGGACACAGGGAGACACGTGGAGACACGTGGAGACACGTGGAGACAGAGAGAGACACGTGGAGACAGAGAGAGACACGTGGAGACACGTGGAGGACACAGGGAGACACGTGGAGACACGTGGAGACACGTGGAGACAGAGACACGTGGAGACACGTGGACACGCGTGGAGACAGAGACACGTGGAGACACGTGGAGACAGAGAGAGACACGTGGAGACACGTGGAGAACACAGGTAGACACGTGGAGACAGAGAGAGACACGTGGAGACAGAGAGAGACACGTGGAGGACACGTGGAGACACAGGGAGACACGTGGAGACAGAGAGAGACACGTGGAGGACACGTGGAGACACAGAAAGAGACGTGGAGACACGTGGAGACAGAGAGAGACACGTGGAGGACACGTGGAGACCACAGGGAGACACGTGGAGACGCGTGGAGACACGTGGAGACGCGTGGAGACGCGTGGAGACACGTGGAGACACGTGGAGACACGTGGAGACAGAGCGAGACACGTGGAGACACGTGGAGACAGAGAGACACGTGGAGGAAACGTGGAGACCACAGGGAGACACGTGGAGACACGTGGAGACACGTGGAGACACATGGAGCAGCGTGGAGACAGAGAGAGACACGTGGAGGACACGTGGAGACAGAGAGACACGTGGAGACACGTGGAGACACGTGGACACAGGGAGACACGTGGACACAGGGAGACACGTGGAGACAGAGAGAGACACGTGGAGACACGTGGAGACAGAGAGAGACACGTGGAGACAGAGAGAGACACGTGGAGACAGAGAGAAACACGTGGAGACACGTGGAGACACGTGGAGGACACAGGGAGACACGTGGAGACACGTGGAGACAGAGACACGTGGAGACACGTGGAGACACGTGGAGACAGAGAGACACGTGGAGACACGTGGAGACACAGGGAGACACGTGGAGACACAGAGAGACACGTGGAGGACACAGGGAGACACGTGGAGACAGAGACGCGTGGAGACAGAGCGGGAGTCTCACTGCGACGAGGCGGAGGCTTGGAGCCCACCGCTGGCCCCGCTCACGGCCCAATAGGAGCCTCCGAAACAGCGCAGAGACCAGCCGTCTGGAACAGCCTCCATCTGGAACGTCTCCGTCTCCCCCTCGTCCTCCTGGTTAGCAGAGATGTCCAGTCCTGAGACACAGTCAGAGAGACACAGTCAGAGAGACACAGTCAGACACACAGTCAGAGACCAGCCGTCTGGAACAGCCTCCATCTGGAACGTCTCCGTCTCCCCCTCGTCCTCCTGGTTAGCCGAGATGTCCAGACCTGAGACACAGACACAGAGACACAGTCAGAGACAGAGACACAGTCAGAGAGACAGTCAGAGACACAGAGACAGAGTCAGAGACCAGCCGCCTGGAACAGCCTCCATCTGGAACGTCTCCGTCTCCCCCTCGTCCTCCTGGTTAGCAGAGATGTCCAGACCTGAGACACGGAGACAGACAGAGACACAGTCAGAGAGACAGAGACACAGTCAGAGAGACAGGCAGAGACAGAGACACAGTCAGAGACACAGAGACACAGTCAGAGAGACAGTCAGAGACCAGCCGTCTGGAACAGCCTCCATCTGGAACGTCTCCGTCTCCCCCTCGTCCTCCTGGTTAGCCGAGATGTCCAGACCTGAGACAGTCAGAGACAGAGACACAGAGACAGAGACACAGACAGAGAGACAGTCAGAGAGACAGTCAGAGACCAGCCGCCTGGAACAGCCTCCATCTGGAACGTCTCCGTCTCCCCCTCGTCCTCCTGGTTAGCAGAGATGTCCAGTCCTGAGACACAGACACAGAGACACAGAGACAGTCAGAGACACAGTCAGAGAGACGGAGAGACAGAGACACAGTCAGAGACACAGTCAGAGACAGAGAGACACAGTCAGAGACCAGCCGCCTGGAACAGCCTCCATCTGGAACGTCTCCGTCTCCCCCTCGTCCTCCTGGTTAGCCGAGATGTCCAGTCCTGAGACACAGTCAGAGACAGAGACACAGACAGAGAGACAGTCAGAGAGACAGTCAGAGACCAGCCGCCTGGAACAGCCTCCATCTGGAACGTCTCCGTCTCCCCCTCGTCCTCCTGGTTAGCCGAGATGTCCAGTCCTGAGACAGTCAGAGAGACAGACAGAGAGACAGAGACACAGTCAGAGACACAGTCAGAGACACAGTCAGAGACCAGCCGCCTGGAACAGCCTCCATCTGGAACGTCTCCGTCTCCCCCTCGTCCTCCTGGTTAGCCGAGATGTCCAGACCTGAGACAGTCAGAGAGACACAGAGACACAGAGACACAGAGACAGAGACACAGTCAGAGAGACAGAGACACAGTCAGAGAGACAGAGAGACAGAGACACAGACAGAGAGACAGAGACACAGTCAGAGACACAGACAGAGAGACAGAGACACAGTCAGAGACCAGCCGCCTGGAACAGCCTCCATCTGCAACGTCTCCGTCTCCCCCTCGTCCTCCTGGTTAGCAGAGATGTCCAGACCTGAGACACAGAGACAGAGACACAGAGACAGAGACACAGTCAGAGACACAGTCAGAGACACAGTCAGAGACCAGCCGCCTGGAACAGCCTCCATCTGGAACGTCTCCGTCTCTCCCTCGTCCTCCTGGTTAGCCGAGATGTCCAGTCCTGAGACACAGTCAGAGAGACACAGAGACACAGAGACAGAGACACAGTCAGAGAGACAGGCAGAGACAGAGACACAGTCAGAGACCAGCCGTCTGGAACAGCCTCCATCTGGAACGTCTCCGTCTCCCCCTCGTCCTCCTGGTTAGCAGAGATGTCCAGACCTGAGACACAGTCAGAGACAGAGACACAGAGACAGAGACAGAGAGACAGAGACACAGACAGAGACAGAGAGACAGAGACACAGTCAGAGACAGAGACACAGTCAGAGACCAGCCGCCTGGAACAGCCTCCATCTGGAACGTCTCCGTCTCCCCCTCGTCCTCCTGGTTAGCGGAGATGTCCAGACCTGAGACACAGTCAGAGACAGAGACACAGAGACACAGTCAGAGAGACAGAGACACAGAGACACAGTCAGAGACACAGTCAGAGACCAGCCGCCTGGAACAACCTCCATCTGGAACGTCTCCGTCTCCCCCTCGTCCTCCTGGTTAGCAGAGATGTCCAGACCTGAGACACAGACACAGTCAGAGAGACAGACAGAGAGACAGTCAGAGACACAGTCAGAGACCAGCCGCCTGGAACAGCCTCCATCTGGAACGTCTCCGTCTCCCCCTCGTCCTCCTGGTTAGCCGAGATGTCCAGTCCTGAGACACAGTCAGAGACACAGGCAGAGACAGAGAGACAGTCAGAGACCATCCGCCTGGAACAGCCTCCATCTGGAACGTCTCCGTCTCCCCCTCGTCCTCCTGGTTAGCAGAGATGTCCAGTCCTGAGACACAGTCAGAGACACAGGCAGAGAGACAGAGACACAGAGACACAGTCAGAGACACAGTCAGAGACCAGCCGCCTGGAACAGCCTCCATCTGGAACGTCTCCGTCTCCCCCTCGTCCTCCTGGTTAGCAGAGATGTCCAGTCCTGAGACACAGTCAGAGAGACACAGAGACAGAGACACAGACAGAGACACAGTCAGAGACACAGTCAGAGACCAGCCGCCTGGAACAGCCTCCATCTGGAACGTCTCCGTCTCCCCCTCGTCCTCCTGGTTAGCCGAGATGTCCAGTCCTGAGACACAGTCAGAGACACAGGCAGAGAGACAGAGACACAGAGACACAGTCAGAGAGACAGTCAGAGAGACAGGCAGAGACACAGTCAGACACAGAGAGAGTCAGAGACCAGCCGCCTGGAACAGCCTCCATCTGGAACGTCTCCGTCTCTCCTTCGTCCTCCTGGTTAGCGGAGATGTCCAGTCCTGAGACACGGAGACAGAGACACAGTCACCCACACAGTCAGTCAGTCACCCACACAGTCACCCACCCTGTCTGGCTGACACGGCTCTCCCGCTAGAGGTGCTTCTCAGGGTGACTTGTGCACGTGACAGTCACCCACACAGCCAGTCACCCACACAGTGACCCACACAGTAACCCACACAGTGACCCACACAGTGACCCACACAGTCACCCACACAGTCACCCACACAGTCACCCACACAGTCACCCACACAGTGACCCACCCACACAGTCACCCACACAGTCACCCACACAGTCAGTGACCCACAGTGACCCACACAGTGACCCACACAGTCACCCACACAGTGACCCACACAGTCACCCACACAGTGACCCACAAAGTCACCCACACAGTGACCCACACAGCCAGTGACCCACACAGTGACCCACAAAGTCACCCACACAGTCACCCACACAGTGACCCACACAGTGACCCACAGTCACCCACACAGTGACCCACACAGTCACCCACACAGTCACCCACACAGTGACCCACCCTGCCTGGCTGACACGGCTCTCCCACTAGAGGTGCTCCTCAGGGTGACTTGTGCACGTGACAGTCACCCACACAGTGACCCACACAGTGACCCACACAGTGACCCACACAGTGACCCACACAGTGACCCACACAGTGACCCACACAGTGACCCACACAGTCACCCACAGTGACCCACACAGTCACCCACAGTGACCCACACAGTCACCCACACAGTCAGTGACCCACACAGTCAGTCACCCACACAGTCACCCACACAGTGACCCACCCACACAGTCACCCACACAGTCAGTGACCCACACAGTGACCCACACAGTGACCCACACAGTGACCCACACAGTCACCCACACAGTGACCCACACAGTGACCCACACAGTCACCCACACAGTGACCCACACAGTCACCCACACAGTCACCCACACAGTCACCCACACAGTCACCCACACAGTGACCCACACAGTGACCCACACAGTCACCCACACAGTCACCCACACAGTGACCCACACAGTCACCCACACAGTGACCCACACAGTGACCCACACAGTGACCCACACAGTGACCCACAGTCACCCACACAGTGACCCACACAGTCACCCACACAGTGACCCACCCTGCCTGGCTGACACGGCTCTCCCACTAGAGGTGCTCCTCAGGGTGACTTGTGCACGTGACAGTCATCCACACAGTGACCCACACAGTGACCCACACAGTGACCCACACAGTGACCCACACAGCCACCCACACAGTGACCCACACAGTGACCCACCCACAAAGTGACCCACCCTGCCTGGCTGACACGGCTCTCCCACTAGAGGTGCTCCTCAGGGTGATTTGTGCACGTGACAGTCACCCACACAGTGACCCACCCACACAGTGACCCACCCACACAGTGACCCACCCACACAGTGACCCACACAGTGACCCACACAGTGACCCACACAGTGACCCACACAGTGACCCACCCACACAGTGACCCACCCACACAGTGACCCACCCACACAGTGACCCACACAGTGACCCACACAGTCACCCACAGTGACCCACACAGTCACCCACAGTGACCCACACAGTCACCCACACAGTGACCCACCCACACAGTGACCCACACAGTGACCCACACAGTGACCCACACAGTGACCCACACAGTGACCCACACAGTGACCCACAGTGACCCACACAGTCACCCACACAGTGACCCACCCACACAGTGACCCACCCTGCCTGGCTGACACGGCTCTCCCGCTAGAGGTGCTCCTCAGGGTGACTTGTGCACGTGACAGTGACCCACACAGTGACCCACACAGTGACCCACACAGTCAGTGACCCACACAGTGACCCACCCACACAGTGACCCACACAGTGACCCACACAGTCAGTGACCCACCCACACAGTGACCCACCCACACAGTGACCCACCCACACAGTGACCCACCCTGCCTGGCTGACACGGCTCTCCCGCTAGAGGTGCTCCTCAGGGTGACTTGTGCACGTGTCAGTGACCCACACAGTCACCCACCCACACAGTCACCCACACAGTCACCCACACAGTCAGTGACCCACCCACACAGTGACCCACACAGTGACCCACACAGTGACCCACACAGTCACCCACACAGTGACCCACCCACACAGTGACCCACCCTGCCTGGCTGACACGGCTCTCCCGCTAGAGGTGCTCCTCAGGGTGACTTGTGCACGTGACAGTCACCCACACAGTGACCCACACAGTGACCCACCCACACAGTGACCCACACAGTGACCCACACAGTCAGTGACCCACACAGTGACCCACACAGTGACCCACACAGTGACCCACACAGTGACCCACCCACAGTGACCCACACAGTGACCCACCCACACAGTCACCCACACAGTGACCCACACAGTCAGTGACCCACACAGTGACCCACACAGTCACCCACACAGTGACCCACACAGTCAGCCACCCACACAGTGACCCACCCACACAGTGACCCACCCACAAAGTGACCCACCCTGCCTGGCTGACACGGCTCTCCCGCTAGAGGTGCTCCTCAGGGTGATTTGTGCACGTGACTCCTCCAGCACAAACAGCTCGTCCTTGGCCGGGCGCGACAGGGCAGAGGCAGACGCCGCACGGACGGATTTCAGGATCCCGGAGGGCCCCGAAGGGCACAAATAGCGTCCTTCTGTGTCCTGGGGAGGGGGGCACAGTGGGGGGGGGGGGTCTAAGTGGGGGGCCCTGGTTGTCTCCGCCCCCCCCCACGCCTCTCACCTTGAAGGCCACGCTCCCCGCGTGGACCTCGAGCGTGAAGGAGGCCGTGTCTCTCACAGTGAGGTCTCACACAGTGAGGGTCTCACACAGTGAGGGTCTCACACAGCGAGGTCTCACAAAGTGAGGGTCTCTCACAGTGAGGGTCTCACACAGTGAGGTCTCACACAGTGAGGTCTCACACAGTGAGGTCTCTCACAGTGAGGTCTCACACAGTGAGGTCTCACACAGTGAGGTCTCACACAGTGAGATCTCACACAGTGAGGTCTCTCACAGTGAGGTCTCTCACAGTGAGGTCTCTCACAGTGAGGTCTCACACAGTGAGGGTCTCTCACAGTGAGGGTCTCTCACAGTGAGGTCTCTCACAGTGAGGTCTCTCACAGTGAGGTCTCACACAGTGAGGTCTCACACAGTGAGGGTCTCTCACAGTGAGGTCTCACACAGTGAGGGTCTCTCACAGTGAGGTCTCACACAGTGAGGTCTCTCACAGTGAGGGTCTCACACAGTGAGGTCTCTCACAGTGAGGTCTCACACAGTGAGGTCTCTCACAGTGAGGTCTCACACAGTGAGGTCTCTCACAGTGAGGTCTCTCACAGTGAGGTCTCACACAGTGAGGTCTCACACAGTGAGGTCTCTCACAGTGAGGTCTCACACAGTGAGTCTCACACAGTGAGGTCTCTCACAGTGAGGTCTCACACAGTGAGGTCTCTCACAGTGAGGTCTCACACAGTGAGGTCTCTCACAGTGAGGTCTCACACAGTGAGGTCTCACACAGTGAGGTCTCACACAGTGAGGTCTCACACAGTGAGGTCTCACACAGTGAGGTCTCACACAGTGAGGTCTCACACAGTGAGGTCTCTCACAGTGAGGGTCTCTCACAGTGAGGGTCTCTCACAGTGAGGATCTCACACAGTGAGGTCTCACACAGTGAGGTCTCTCACAGTGAGGTCTCTCACAGTGAGGTCTCACACAGTGAGGTCTCACCTTGAAGGCCACGCTCCCCGCGTGTCTCACACAGTGAGTGTCTCTCACAGTGAGTCTCTGACCTTGAAGGCCACGCTCCCCGCGTGGACCTCGAGCGTGAAGGAGGCCGTGTCTCTCACAGTGAGTGTCTCTCACAGTGAGGTCTCACACAGTGAGGGTCTCACACAGTGAGGTCTCACACAGTGAGGGTCTCACACAGTGAGGTCTCACACAGTGAGGTCTCACACAGTGAGGGTCTCACACAGTGAGGGTCTCTCACAGTGAGGGTCTCACACAGTGAGGGTCTCACACAGTGAGGGTCTCACACAGTGAGGGTCTCACACAGTGAGGTCTCTCACAGTGAGGTCTCTCACAGTGAGGTCTCTCACAGTGAGGTCTCACACAGTGAGGTCTCTCACAGTGAGGTCTCACACAGTGAGGGTCTCACACAGTGAGGTCTCACACAGTGAGGTCTCTCACAGTGAGGGTCTCACACAGTGAGGTCTCTCACAGTGAGGTCTCACACAGTGAGGTCTCACACAGTGAGGGTCTCTCACAGTGAGGGTCTCTCACAGTGAGGTCTCACACAGTGAGGTCTCACACAGTGAGGTCTCTCACAGTGAGGTCTCTCACAGTGAGGTCTCACACAGTGAGGTCTCACACAGTGAGGTCTCACACAGTGAGGTCTCACACAGTGAGGTCTCTCACAGTGAGGTCTCACACAGTGAGGTCTCACACAGTGAGGTCTCACACAATGAGGTCTCTCACAGTGAGGTCTCTCACAGTGAGGTCTCTCACAGTGAGGTCTCTCACAGTGAGGTCTCTCACAGTGAGGTCTCTCACAGTGAGGTCTCTCACAGTGAGGTCTCACACAGTGAGGTCTCACACAGTGAGGTCTCTCACAGTGAGGTCTCTCACAGTGAGGTCTCTCACAGTGAGGTCTCTCACAGTGAGGGTCTCTCACAGTGAGGGTCTCACACAGTGAGGTCTCACACAGTGAGGGTCTCACACAGTGAGGGTCTCTCACAGTGAGGGTCTCTCACAGTGAGGGTCTCACACAGTGAGGTCTCACACAGTGAGGTCTCACACAGTGAGGTCTCACACAGTGAGGTCTCACACAGTGAGGTCTCTCACAGTGAGGTCTCTCACAGTGAGGTCTCTCACAGTGAGGTCTCTCACAGTGAGGTCTCTCACAGTGAGAGTCTCACACAGTGAGGTCTCACACAGTGAGGTCTCACACAGTGAGGTCTCTCACAGTGAGGTCTCACACAGTGAGGTCTCACACAGTGAGGTCTCACACAGTGAGGTCTCACACAGTGAGTGTCTCTCACAGTGAGGTCTCACACAGTGAGGTCTCACACAGTGAGGTCTCACACAGTGAGGTCTCACACAGTGAGGTCTCACACAGTGAGGTCTCACACAGTGAGGTCTCACACAGTGAGGTCTCACACAGTGAGGTCTCTCACAGTGAGGTCTCTCACAGTGAGGTCTCTCACAGTGAGGTCTCTCACAGTGAGGTCTCACACAGTGAGGTCTCTCACAGTGAGGTCTCTCACAGTGAGGTCTCACACAGTGAGGTCTCTCACAGTGAGGTCTCACACAGTGAGGTCTCTCACAGTGAGGTCTCTCACAGTGAGGTCTCACACAGTGAGGTCTCTCACAGTGAGGTCTCACACAGTGAGGTCTCACACAGTGAGGTCTCACACAGTGAGGTCTCTCACAGTGAGGTCCTCACACAGTGAGGTCTCACACAGTGAGGTCTCTCACAGTGAGGTCTCTAACAATGAGGGTCTCTCACAGTGAGGTCTCTCACAGTGAGGTCTCACACAGTGAGGTCTCACACAGTGAGGTCTCTCACAGTGAGGTCTCTAACAATGAGGGTCTCTCACAGTGAGGTCTCTCACAGTGAGGTCTCTCACAGTGAGGTCTCTCACAGTGAGGTCTCTCACAGTGAGGTCTCACACAGTGAGGTCTCTCACAGTGAGGTCTCTCACAGTGAGGTCTCACACAGTGAGGGTCTCTCACAGTGAGTGTCTCACACAGTGAGGGTCTCACACAGTGAGGTCCTCTCACAGTGAGGTTCTCTCACAGTGAGGTCTCTCACAGTGAGGTCTCTCACAGTGAGGTCTCTCACAGTGAGGTCTCTCACAGTGAGGTCTCTCACAGTGAGGTCTCTCACAGTGAGGTCTCTCACAGTGAGGTCTCACACAGTGAGGGTCTCACACAGTGAGGTCTCACACAGTGAGGTCTCTCAAAGTGAGGTCTCACACAGTGAGGTCTCTCACAGTGAGGTCTCTCACAGTGAGGTCTCTCACAGTGAGGTCTCACACAGTGAGGTCTCACACAGTGAGGTCTCTCACAGTGAGGTCTCACACAGTGAGGTCTCTCACAGTGAGGTCTCTCACAGTGAGGTCTCTCACAGTGAGGTCTCTCACAGTGAGAGTCTCACACAGTGAGGTCTCTCACAGTGAGGTCTCTCACAGTGAGGTCTCACACAGTGAGGTCTCACACAGTGAGGTCTCACACAGTGAGGGTCTCACACAGTGAGGTCTCTCACAGTGAGGTCTCACACAGTGAGGTCTCACACAGTGAGGTCTCACACAGTGAGGTCTCACACAGTGAGGTCTCACACAGTGAGGTCTCTCAGTGAGGTCTCACACAGTGAGGTCTCACACAGTGAGGTCTCACACAGTGAGGTCTCACACAGTGAGGGTCTCTCACAGTGAGGTCTCACACAGTGAGGTCTCACACAGTGAGGTCTCACACAGTGAGGTCTCACACAGTGAGGTCTCACACAGTGAGGGTCTCTCACAGTGAGGTCTCTCACAGTGAGGTCTCACACAGTGAGGTCTCACACAGTGAGAGTCTCACACAGTGAGGTCTCTCACAGTGAGGGTCTCTCACAGTGAGGTCTCACACAGTGAGGTCTCACAGTGAGGGTCTCACACAGTGAGGGTCTCACACAGTGAGGTCTCACACAGTGAGGTCTCTCACAGTGAGGTCTCTCACAGTGAGGTCTCTCACAGTGAGGGTCTCACACAGTGAGGGTCTCTCACAGTGAGTGTCTCACACAGTGAGGGTCTCACACAGTGAGTGTCTCACACAGTGAGGGTCTCACACAGTGACGTCTCACACAGTGACGTCTCACACAGTGAGTGTCTCACACAGTGAGGTCTCACACAGTGAGGTCTCACACAGTGAGGTCTCACACAGTGAGGTCTCACACAGTGAGGTCTCACACAGTGAGGTCTCACACAGTGATGGTCTCACACAGTGAGGTCTCACACAGTGAGAGTCTCTCACAGTGAGGTCTCTCACAGTGAGGTCTCACACAGTGAGGTCTCACACAGTGAGGTCTCTCACAGTGAGGGTCTCACACAGTGAGGTCTCACACAGTGAGGTCTCACACAGTGAGGTCTCTCACAGTGAGGGTCTCACACAGTGAGGTCTCACACAGTGAGGTCTCATCACAGTGAGGTCTCTCACAGTGAGGTCTCACACAGTGAGGTCTCACACAGTGAGGGTCTCACACAGTGAGGGTCTCACACAGTGAGGGTTCTCACACAGTGAGGTCTCTCACAGTGAGGTCTCTCACAGTGAGGTCTCTCACAGTGAGGTCTCACACAGTGAGGTCTCACACAGTGAGGTCTCACACAGTGAGGTCTCACAGTGAGGTCTCACACAGTGAGGTCTCTCACAGTGAGGCCTCTCACAGTGAGGTCTCACACAGTGAGGTCTCACACAGTGAGGTCTCACACAGTGAGGGTCTCAAACAGTGAGGGTCTCTCACAGTGAGGGTCTCTCACAGTGAGGGTCTCACACAGTGAGGGTCTCACACAGTGGAGGTCTCTCACAGTGAGGGTCTCTCACAGTGAGGTCTCTCACAGTGCGGTCTCTCACAGTGAGGTCTCTCACAGTGAGAGTCTCACACAGTGAGGTCCTACACAGTGAGGTCTCTACC